TAAATCAGTAATATGAGATGTATTCACCCTATTTCGTCTAAGGTGATGTAGGACTGGTAGTAGAATATTCCCACAATGATATGAGTTGAGCTGACGTTTTCATCGAATTTCACACATCACCTTAAACGAAATTGGGTGAATACATCTCATACTACTGATTTACTGGTAGTCACGAAAACAATACTAAATGGGAAAAATGAAGAATAAAGAAACGATATAGCTCCCATCGATATATCATATTCTTTGGTGGAATTGTTGATGAATGAAAGGTATGTTTTGCCTAACAATCGACTATTGTTTTCGTGACTACATTTCATATTACTAATTTACTGGTAGTCACGAAAACAATACTTAATTCAAAAAGTAAAGTATAGTAGTCGATTGTTATATCAAATATACGTTTGCTTCATCGACAATTCCACCAAAAGAATATGATATGGCAAAAAGGCATGGCCTTCCTTGACAATTCACATTTGTCTTGTGACCCAAAAAGGGCGCTCATAGCAGTGTAGCCGAATGTTTAGTGTGTCAAGCTCCCATCCTGCACTTTTGGGAAAGTAATGCTATGTGAAATTTAATGGAAACATCATCCTAACTCATGTCATTGTGGGAAAATTCTTCTTCTACCAGTCCTTGATCACCTTAAACGGAATTGGCTGAATACATCTCATATTAATGATTCCCAGCATCTGACAGTCGACTTGATACATTCTCAAACGTTTCGCCGCCATCATCAGTCAGTTTTGCCATTCTCTGCACCAAGACACGAACTCGTCAAAGAGACAAGTGAAGTCGATCCCTCGACAACCGTCGATATAAGTAGATATATATGCCAATTTACCTAAATTAATACAAATTGTTGATATTGGAATATTTGCAAGGTTACTTTTGATGTTGTATCAAAGTATACTAACAACCCAGTTCAAAAAGCTGTATCAAGTCCACTGTCTGATGATGGGAATCATGACAACTAACATGGCAGACGACTACGGACTAGGTGCGTTCTACATAGTCGCCCTGACAACAAGACCAAGTTGCGACAACGAGGTCAACCCACTTATTAATGGAAAGGAGACTGCGACCATAACAGACGCCATAACATCTTGGTCTTTATATATTTATTATTTTCTTTTCACGGATCACACTAGACTTTGAGTTATGCGCATTTTCATAGTCTACCGGCAAAACAGTGAAACAAATTCCCCGCAAAATTGGATTCGACACCAATCTTTTGCTTTCACTGCCCTCTGTCGTGGGTAGATTCGTCATCTTTTCATGTGTTAAAATCATCTGTAACTGGTCTACCTTATTACCGGCATCCGTCCCACTGCTAATCGGGGTGCTCGACATTGTATCAGACTCGTTTTATTGCGGATCCATCGGCAGGTTCCAGACACTGTTCAACTATGCTTTGCCGCTGGCAAAAGGGAGCCTTTTTTGGGATTCATAGTCAAGTGGAATAGGCAACGCTGGCATGCTGGCATTTGAATGCCGAGGCAGATGAGCCAGGATTTTGTTGTCATGACGAAGAACCATTTCTCGACTAGTGCCTGAATAATTTAGACCAAATCGACTTTTATTTTGGAAAGCAAATTCGATTAGAAGGTCTTCGTTGCTTGGCCTCGGCTGGAGCCGAACGAGTAGAGGGCAAACAGGTCTTGCAACTTTGAAGAATTCGTCTGTCCAGTCGAGCCGAGGGTCATCAAAGCCAGAAAGCATCATTTATGAAACCGAAAAGAACCTTCCTAGTTTTAGCAAATTGAAGCCACTCTTCATGACTGGTCTCGACTTTACGACTTGGCCAAGTCGTCAAGGCGACGTAAATGCTCGCGGTTTGGTCAAAGTGCTCTGGCCTCGAGTTTTTATGATAACTTCCAGTTTGGGAATATACCAAGCACGTGGAACGATGCTGAAAATTAGCATAAACCCTCGAGAACAAAGGACTCTGGGCATTTTGCTTCCATCTAAGTTGCCTTGACAACAGGATTA